GCCGTGAGGCCATAAAACCGAAGCGGGAAAGGGGGTGCCCGGCTCGGTTATAGCGGGCCCCCGCGCGTCGGCCCCCTGCTGCCGGCTTTCGAGCGGGGGTCCCTGCCGGCCTTAAGGCAGAAAAACATCAATGTGAATTAAGCAGCGTGGAACGCTGGTGTTAGTCTGGCCCTGGGTGAGCACTGCGCTGTTAATCTTCCACTTCAGTTTTAGGCGGTTTTTTTAAAATTTGTTTCGATTTGGGCTCAGCTAGGCCTCTTTATGAACTCCACCGGCTCATGCCGGCTCGCTTCTTCCTCCTTCACGGCCCACGGGGCCCTTCCCTGCCAGCTCGGCCTGGCCTGAAAGCGGCTCCTGCCAGCAGCACGGCGGCTTCAGCTTCTGGGTGTCCCCTGGGCAGCTCCTGAGAGGCCGCGGGCTGCTGCCTGGGCAGCCTGAGAGCATCAGAAATAGAAACATCACTTCCCTTGAGGGGGGGGTAATAGTAGTGGGGGGTCGTTATTTAATTATTGTATGTCAGTACTATTTAAAAAAAAAAAAAACAACAAAACAAGATACTTGGTAGTTTTCTAAATCATCCGCTTTTTGGTGCGATGAGGCAGGTGGCAGTAGGAGCAGTGGAGGTGAGGTGGGTGGTGGAGGGAGTCGGAGCGCTGTGGTGAAGGGGTGGCTGATCACCCATCCCACACGTTTTAGGGGAAGGTTTGTCATTGCGGACACACTGCCTGAGTGACACAGCATCAGAGTCCTCTGTAGCTGTATAGCAAGTTGTGTTTAAATAAGCTGATGTTTCCCAGTAACAGATGTTTGGTGCAGCTGCTAATTAAATGTGCAAATACTGTCTGACAGTGGTAAAAAGGAGCATGTAGACCACTGACAGGTAAGTCAGGCAGCGAGAGTTGAGGTTATTCAGCCTGAACACCTTATTGCAGCCTTTCAGTACTTAAAGGAGGCTTATAAGAGAAATGAGGACAAACTTTTTATCAGGGCCTGGTGTGATAGGATAAGGGGTAATGGTTTTAAACTAAAAGAGGGTAGATTCGGACTAGATATAAGGGGAAAAAAAAATTATGATGAGGGTGATGAAACACTCTCAGGCTGCCCAGAGAGATGGTAGATGCCCCATCCCTGGAAACATTCGAGGTCAGGTTGGATGGGGCTCTGAGCAATGTGATCTAGTTGAAGATGTCCCTGCTCATTGCAGGAGGGTTGCACTAAATAATCTTTAAAGGTCCCTTCCAACCCAAGCTTCTGTGATTCAGTAAGTGAAGTCCCTGAAGCATTTTTTGCTTGATGACTTTTTGCAGAAGACTGTATTCAACAAGTATATTAGCCCCTGTTGGAATAAAAGAAATGTTGCAACATTCTTTCTACTAATTTTTATTTTTCTCTTCCATGCAGTAATCATGCAATAATGTTTGTATTTCTTGCAGGACCTGTGGAAAGGAAGGTGCTTGTGAATCTTCAGAAGTTAGATGTGGCTCAGGATAGTCTGGGCAACTATGGTTTCTTCACTTTGATTTACAATCAAGGCTTTGAAATTGTGATAAATGACTACAAATGGTTTGCATTTTTTAAGGTGAGTTAACTTGGTGTGTTCTGTATCAGTGACTGTTGCTAAGATGGCCTGTAGCTAGGCTTATCTGTAGTTCGTGAGTACCGCAGTGCGGTCATTGGGACACTTGGTTGTCTTTGGCTCTGAGGTTTGCCTGGATTACCAGGTACAGGATTTATTTTTTTAATGTAAGGAAACAGTTTATCAGTGGCTGGGTAGGGAGCAGAAGGAGGGAAGAGGTATTTCTATTCCGCATTGGGCATTATCTGAAAAATTTATTACAGATGCTGCTTCTTTCCCTTCTGGGCATGCCTAAAGCAATTGAAGGCCTTCATGACGCTAACTCTCCTGGTAGCCTGGAAATAATTTTTTTTTGTTTAAGTTCCTGACACCATGGACCCAAGTGAAATAGCAAATATCATTGCTTTTATCTTTCCTTAAAGATGTTCTCAAATGGGTGAAAACTTTAGAAAGGCCATCTGCTCTCCTTGCTGGAGGTTTTCTAGGATCTTTAAATTTTATTCCAGAATACTACCTTAATGTTTAAGGAACCTTTCTGTTGCCTGTAATTGTTCTTTTTGAGTAATATGCTTATCTCCAGTCCCTGTTAATGACTTCAGATCAAGCTGTAAACAGTGCTGGTAGGCAGGGGGAGACAGGAGAAGACACACTTGCTAAGGAGCATTCTGCTGCTGTCCTGATGAGTGGCATTATGAATCTGGAGGGTGGCTTGAAGCAATCTCTACAGGATGATTTTGGTACTTGGGAGACAGATCTTTTGTGCAGCAAGACTGCTCAGTTGGTGAGTGCAGCCCTAGGCAGGAGCAGTGAACGTGTTTCTTGTTTGTTTCAAGAAACATGATCTTGCATCTGGCTTCAGATGAGCCAATAGTAAACACCCCAGCCTTGTCCAAGCATAAAATCTCTGAACCTTGGCTAGTAGTAAGGAAGGTGGAGAAATGACTTTTGCTTTAAATGGTATTTCTGGGAGCCATTGTAGGTAGTTTATTTTACAGCAGCTGTTTTCAAGTCAGTGTTTTCAGATGTTAACAAAAATGAGTGATCCACTCTTCCAGGAGAACTGTAATTCTTACCAAATAGAAATGATGTATGAGGCTCTGATTTAACTGCAGCTTCTTCCATGCTGATTGGAGCTCACTTAAGTTAAGGGAAAGGGCTGCCTTGTAGGTTGTTTACATGTTGTTTGTGGGTTAACCACAGCAGGCAGCTAAGCACAACACAGCCACTTGATCATTTTCCCCCAGTGGGATGGGGGAGAGAATCGGAAGTGTGAAGGTGCAAAAACTTGAGAGTTGAGGTAAAGGTACCTTAATAGGTAAATCAAAAGCTGCGTATGCAAGCAAAACAAAATAAGGATTTCATTTGCTACTTGCCACCAGCAGGCAGATCTTTAGCAATTTCCAGGAAAGCAGGACTTCATCACGCATAACTGCTACTTAGGAAGGCAGATGCCATAATTCTGAATGCCCACCTTTTCTCCTTCTCTCCCCAACTTTTATTGCTGAGCATGATGTTGTATGGTATGGAATATCCCTTTGGTTAGTTGGGGTCAGCTGTCCCAGCTGTGTCTCCTCCCAGTTTCTTGTGCACCCCAAGCCTACTTACTGGTAGGGCAGTCTGAGGAGCAGGTGAGGCCTTGATGCTGTGAAAGCACTGCTGAGCAATAACGAAAACATCCCTGTGTTACCAACACTGTTTTCATCACAAATACAAAATGTGGCACTACATGAGCACTACAAATAAAATTATAAACTTTCTCTGCCAAAACTACAGCACTCATAACTGTAAATGTTTAAAATAGGAATACTTCTGCATAAGACAGGTTCTTATACTTGTGCAAAAGCAAAGTGTGAGAGAGAAATACCTGATAGACGTTCTCTCATCTGTATAAGGTAGTGACACTAAATTGCCATGATGCGCACTTCACATTGGTTTGGGGCGTGATACAGTAAAAACTACAGACAGTGAAGGATTCTCTAATTGAGCAGAATTGCTCTGAAACTTCTCCAGCAGGGACACCTCTGTGAGCTTCCCTACCCTGCGAGGGCCTGCCTCCAAAGTGGCAGGAATTGCTACCTCCCTGAGGACAATGGGGCACTAAATGTTGTAGTATTGTTCATGATCTCCGGCCTGAGGTGTCATCTCTAGCAGGTGGAATTCAGTAGTCATTGCTGGCCTTGGTGGATTCATCTGAGGTGAAATAGAGTGGAACTAACGTGCTGGGAATTCTTAGGCTGATATTTTGCACTGAAATGCAGAGTTGCTTTACAAGCCAGTATGGTGACCAGTTGAAACAAGTGTTGATTGTCAAAGTAATTCTTGAGTGTGAGGAATTTATTCATCAAAACAGTGAGTGGACTGCTCTGGAATGTAAGTGGAGCTGTAAAGCACCGACTTGAAGATGGTTGAGAGTCACTGAAGGCTTTACTGCTCTGCTGCTGCTATCTGTACCTTGTGAAATACACTACTGGAAGGTGAGCACTAACTCAAGTGACTGTTAAGTGCTGATCTCGTGTATTCTGTGCTTATGAAAACATAAATGCATTGATTTGCAAGAGTACTCTTAATATACCAAAACTGTGTTATAGAATAATTTAGTCTGGAGGGAATCAGGTCATCTGATCCAACTTGCTGCTCAAAACAAAGTAAGTGGAATATACACCTGAGCAGTAGCGATGCACAATAGCTTGCATTTCTTGGTCATGAATGTGTCTTAGCCCTTTGTAGACAAATGGATTAATTGTTAGGTTTGCAGTTGCTTTTGGTATTGTGAAATAGCAAGCTTGTTTAGCTTATTGTTCAGTAGTAGGGAATCCATCAGCAAGACATGCTTAAATTAAAGGCTTTCCTTAAATATTATAGAGAGGATTAAAGCCCAATTTGGTTACCCTCTCTATAATTTTGCTGCTGTAAAGGAAACAACAGATTACCAAGATGCAAGTATAGTGGCTGAGAAGCACGAGGAAATACCACAGCACTTAATAAATGCATATTTTTTTTTTTTTCTGCAAACACCTAGGAGACTTTGTTAGGCAACAACTTACAATACTGTCTGTCTGCAAAACTGTTATTTCACAATTAGTTAATTAGTAAACAAATCATATGAAGAGCAGTTGAAGGAGCTGGGACTGTTTAGTTGGAGGAGGAGGAGGCTGAAGGGAGACCTCATCACTCTCTACAACTATTTGAAAGGACACTGTACAGAGGTTGGTGATGGTCTCTTCTCACAGGTATGACAGAATGAGAGGGAATGGCTTCAAGCTCCAACAGGGTAGATTTAGACTGAACATTAGGAAAGAATTTTTCCCAGAAAGAGTGGTTAGGCATTGGAATAGGCTGCCCAGGGAGGTGGTTGAGTCACCATCCCTGGATGTGTTTAAGAGCCGTTTAGATGTGGTGTTGGGGGATATGGTGTAGGGGAGAACTTTGTAGAGTAGGGTAGATGGTTGGACTCGATGATCCCAAGGGTCTCTTCCAACCTAGACAATTCTATGATTCTAATTGTCAGTGGGGACTTGGGGGGAAGAGGTGTTTCCTTGCAAGCTGCTTGACCTTGTGGCATATTTAAGCATGTGTATGTCTTTATATTTTATCCAGTAAATATTGCATTACATATAAAATAGAAATACATAATATCTACTCCTGGTATAAACTAAAGATGTGGTTTCTTCTGTCAAATGCGGCTAATGCTCTGTTAGGGCCTATCACATCATCTTCTACTGTAAGGCTTCTAGAGGACAAGTAATATATTCTGCTCAATGTATGCTTCAGAGGTTTTTGAAGAATGATTGCCTGTTGTTTAAAATGCTCCTGCCATTTGCACCTGAAAGTAATGTAAACATGGCAGACTTCATTTGCTTAATGTTGGTCATAATCTAGAAGCCCTTGGAGTAAAATGGGGCAAACTAGAATGTTAAGTGGCAAGGGCCTTCCTCCCTGGAAATGCAGCCAGAGTAAAGCATAAAAGCAGAATTTTCTTTGCTGTCATTCTCCTGCTTTACAAGAAGGTACAGAACTAATATTTGTAGTATGGAGCAATTTGCTATTGTTTTTACTACTTGATAAAATTACTTGGTTTCACTCTGAAGTAACCTGCCAATGCGAACACTGTTCTGGAGTTACTTTTTGATTGTAGAGTAACTTTTTGGTTCATGGAGCAGTTTGTGGTGGTGGAGCAGCCATAACACAGAAAGCCTTGCACATCTTTCCATGGCTATGGGTTTGAGCTTGTCAGGAAAGTATTCATAGCTTAAAGGCTGCTCATAAATTTCGAGTTCTGCTTATGTTGCACTAAAGTTAAATTATGTGGCTAAGACCCCATCATGGTGACAGGACAGATAAAGCATCCTGATTTACCTACTAGGATGCTTTAACACTTTCCTCATACTTTGCCATTGAACAGAAAGGATGGAGTTGCTAGGCAAAAAGAAGAGTAGTATTTAAGCCAATACAGTACTTCATGTGTTTCAAGCATAGAAGTGCAACTGGTACTAATTGATGAACGTGCAGTGTATTTGTGTTTAATGTTAAAAATGAAGTTATTAATTACTAACAAGAATGCTTTGGGCTTATGTAAATGGTGGCTTTATCAGTGCTACGGTACTGTGTGGTTATAGACGCAGCCTGTTTGACGATGGTGGCATGTTTCAGTGAGTTTTTAATAGCCTTTTGTTCCTATGGCTTACTAAAGAGACAGCCACTAAAATTTTTGTAGGGCCTCACTGCCTTTACAAGTTATTTGTTCTTTCACATGAGGACTGTGGGGAAGTGACTTTCTACACCAAAGGAATGTATTGGCTGAGCTTATCAATGTATGTTTTTTTTTCTTCTTCAGTTTGCTTCAATAGCTTAAGTAAAGAAGCTCTAGCAGTGTTTTATTTCTAACCATTGTTGTACATAGACTTGTCCCTCAAGGCTTGCCAAGTTAAATGCAGCATCCTCTACTGCAGTCTGCTTCTCACAAGTCATAGTTACTCTGCCTGGTGTTTGCAGCACAAAAGAACTTGTTTTATGGGAATGCTCTTGTTTCTTATTTAATGTCTGCTGCTGAAATGTCCTTATGCTGAACTTGCATGTGAAGTTAGTGTACTGACTCTTGGCAGAAGCTTGAGCGTGTGCTTCTGCTGGATGATATAAGGATTCTGTAGGGCTAGGCAAGACACAAGGCTTTACATTTTTTTCTTTTTCCAGGGGGTGGCAAAACAAACAGGAACAGCATAACACAAAAAGCTAGGGTGAGACTGAAATGAAAGTTGAGGCTAATTTGTTTCAATTATTTGATATCTTCATAGTATTTCTTTATTATTTTAAAACTACCACTGTGAAGGGAGACAGTCTTGTAGGATTCTCACTGTTTGTCCCTTAAGCTAAGTGGTACTACTTCTGACTTCTGAGATGTCCTCCTAGCAAAAACGAGAAGTCTGGCACTTCTTCATATTAAAATATTAGCACTACTTCAGCAAAAAGAAAGAAATAACTTCTAGAATATTCCACTACTCAAGTTACTAATCTTTTCCAGACTGACTTGGTGACATCTTTGTCACATCTTTTCCTCTTTCCCCAGTGCCCCCAAATTTGGTTAAAACCAAGGACTTCCATTCTGAAAAAAACAGCCTAGACAAGTGGCAGTAATTAATGTTTAAATTTCAGAATATTAAAAAAAGAAATCTGAACGCATTTTATTCCATGTTGCTAAACTAGAAGTGTTAGAGTTGCTGATGCTGTTTAATCATCCTGCAAATCAATTGAAAGTTAATTTCTAACCTATTGTAGTTGGGTCTGCTTAACTGGCAACGTGCAACTAGGTGCTTCCCTAAAGTGTAAATCTGAAAGCATAAATCTCTGAATTACAGAATGTTGCCTGGAGGAAAGAAGATGCATCTGTAGTTGATATTTCCTTGCATTTTCTATCAGATAGCAAGATGCAATCATCGGTTCTGATAATCTATATTTTTGTATAGTAGGGCATCTGCAAATCTGCAGTCCTGTTCTATTTAAGAATGTTCTTCCTGTATTAAAATGCATAGGCACACTTGTAAACTTGATGATAAATGAGTGGTCTTTCCAGCAGGCTTAATGTATTGGGTAGCCCTGCCTCCTGGAACTCGAGTTGGCCTATTGCCTGAACATTGCTTAAGTTGAGAACAATAGATGTAAAAGACGATGGGATGGCAGCCTGTGTATGTAGCACTGCTGAATCCCTGTTAAAATACTGTGTCCAATAAGGTTCCTATCCTTTCCTGCTTTCCTCTTAGGCAAATTAAAAATTTAAAGAAAGCTTTAGACAATTACACTTTTTACTAGGACTGGCATTGAGCATGCAATTGGATGATGTCATGATGACCAGCAGAGGGATGACTTTATGAGCAGTATACTGTACCAAAAAGCTTACCTAGGTTCAGGTATCTAGTAGCAAGCCTTGAAATTCAGGTACATGAAGCTTTTTAAGGTTAATGTTGGAGTTGCTTGGCTGAATTCTGGCATTAGGTAAAGTTACATGGGTTGTGAGACTTGAGAAAAATATACATTTGAAATAGAATTAAAGCTTAATGTTTTCAAACCTCAGAATTTGAACTGTGAATATAGTTCAGGTGCCTTTCTACAGGAGTTGTTCCAGATTGGTCAGGTCACTGGATGGAGTTTACTTAATGCTGCACATGTGAACATTGGCTGATGAAATTATCACATGTGGCATGTCTACAGTGGTCTCTTATTAACTTCAAAATTAAAACCATCCTCTTAAGTCTGCAGAGGAAATGCATGTAGCAGTTGTCCAGCAGTAGCTGGTGGTCACAGCTGTGTGGCTGATGCCTTCCATGAAGGATGCGATTCTGTGATGGGTTCCACAGCCGTGCTGGGCACCGTGCTGGCAGCTTCTGGCAATGTCTGGCGTTGTAATTAGCATCCACCTGAGTCAGTGGTGGTTGTTCACGCAGTGGTGCCGTAATGAACTGGTGCAGCTGAAGTTAGTCACATGCCTGTATGACTCTTATCTGGGAAGACATACTCATAGTAGGTCCTCTAAAACTGATACAGTCAGATTTGCTAGAGCCAATCTGCTAGAGCCTTTCTCTGGTCACAGCAAGAAGTGCTGCATGTGGTTTTAGCAATGAAATACTCATTTGATGGTGTACCTTCTGATTGTAAGCAGTGGGTGTCACTGTCATGGCACTGATGACTTTGCTGTCCCATTTTAGTTCTTCTGATGTGGCCCATTGAGGAGTTAACTAGCTTGTAGAAATTAAGCATAAGTATTGGGGTTTTTTTAAAGGTTTCTCTGCCACTTCCTTATGGATATATTTTAATTTCCTAGCTGAAAATGGGTCTTGGAGTTCAAATTCCCTTTATCCAGTTGTCATTGATGGGCTGTGGTCTCAAAGTCTTCAGGTCCCCTTTTTAAAGCCAATTCAGTTGTAGCTTACAATCTGCCAGTCTGCAAAAAGGTAGCTACAGAGGACTTGAATTGCTTGATTTTAGGTTTCTGCACAGACTACCTGAAATTGGCTTTTGTCTCTTGTTTATCTTGAAGCATTGCCATTGACTGTCCCCTCACCTCCTTTCTAGTTTTACGCTGTTCTTTCAGTTCAAACATATAAGCAAGAAACTTGCTAAATTCACTTTCCTGAAAGATGAGTTGCACAAATGGTGTGAATACTATCCTAGTTAGTTATCTGTCAACATCGGGGGGGGGGGGGGGGGGGGGGGGAAGTGGGCGTTACTAGTTAACAGATAAATCACTGCCTCTTTTCTGTGAAAATAAGTCCCAAATCTGTTCCACTTGTTTTGATTCAATGTAACTCCACGCTAGGTGGGATCTGCATCTGATTGTTGCAGAAAGCAGGCCTGTTCCTTGATTATTCTTCAAGTATTCAGACTGAAAGCCTATACTTATTAAGAATACTTGTGCTCGGTCTTGTTTTAATCAGTGGCAGCTTTTAGATAGAAAAGACAGGTATTAATTTACACTATCATGTGGAGCCAAATAAAGTTCTCTCATGGTAACTTACTGATGTAAGGTCAGTAGCTTGTTGCTTTTGGTAGTGCCTGGATTTCTAGCAATGCTGTTGTGAAGAAGGTATTTTCAAAAGTTGTATCTGGACTTTGCTCTTGGTATTAGGCCAAGTGTAGCTATTTCCCATATTGCACAATCTTGCACGGTGAGATAGGATGAATAGAACATGGTAACAGCTCCTGCTCCAGTCAGCAAACATGCTTCCCTTGCTAGACAAGCAAGTGTGCAGATGTGATGCCTCTGCAACCTCTGAACTGGGGGCAAAGCAAATTCCCATTGTTCTAAAACATGCAGAGGATTAACCTTTAATTTTATCCCTCTGATTAGTCACAAACCTCCCAGTCTCTTTATTTACTTTATTTTCCATGTTAAGGCATTTCCATCACTGTAAGCCACTATCTTCTTCAGTGAAGAGGCTGAGCAAGCATTTTGTTGAAACATAGGTACAAAATCCTTGGACCATTGTACATATGCAACTCAAATGCAATGGGATTTAATAAAGTATTTTTGGACTAGGAAACTTGGATTCCTTGTAAGGGATTTGTGCAAGATTAAAATTCTCAAGTGGAAGCTTTTGTTGTGTGGGGTGTTCAAGCTCCTGTATAGCTTAATACAAAGCAGACTTAACCTTAAGAGATGAGTAAAGATCTAAAGATGTCTTTTTTCTTTTTCTTTTTTTTTTTCTTTAGTTTGTGTCTTCCCTGGGACATTCTGCTGTCAAAGAGTTGCTAATCCAGGAAATTTAAGTAGCTGGGCAAAGTGTTAATGCTGTCTGAAGACAGACTGTACTGAATAGATTAACTTGTTACTCCACTTCAGCGGTAAAATGAAGACTTGTGTGACTGAATAAGGCAGTGTTAGGTCTTGGGGCTTGAGGCTTTGGTAACACTCCCATCACCACCAGCTTCAAATTAGTAGCTCTCAATGGATCATCATTTCTTACTGTCTCATTTTGATAGTTCAGGTGAAATTGTTTCATGATGCTCTTCCTGCAACTGCTTTAAATTTGAGCTGTGATGGAAGTCTCATCTTCGGTTCTGACTCCTAAAAATGAAATGCTATACTACAGTTCTCCTGGGCGGGGAGGGGAAACTTGCCATCCACCCTGTGTTTACTTTTCATGCTGCTGTGAGTCTTAGTATCTCAAACTTTTGCAGCACTCCAGGGTTTGTTTGACTAGTCACATATTTGGTGCAAGAAACCACAGGGCATTGAAGAGAAGGATAAGTACCAAGAGGTTTTTTTTTTTTTTTACATTTTGCCTAGAAAGTAACTGTTGAACCCAAACAATTAGCACCTGTTAGTTGATGCTGATACTAATGCATGTGTTGATACTAAAAGTGTAAGTCACAAGCTGTTTGTCTTCCTCTAGCAACCTGATAAATATCAGTTTATTTTAGCTGCTTAAACTGTTTTTCTTGTTTCTTTGTTTTGAAATCGAACATGATGCTGGTTCATCTGGAACATATGGCCAGTTCCTCTGAAACAGAGGCAAGAAGCAGCTGGGTGTGTAGGGGCTACTGCTATGGTCACAAATGCATCTACCCAACACAAGTGTAACCTCTTCATGTTACAGTACAAAAAGGAAGGTCAGAATGTAACCAGCTACTGTAATGAGACTCTACCAGGATGGGTACATGATGTACTTGGCCACAATTGGGCCTGTTTCAGCGGACAGAAGATTTCTTCATCTCCTTCAGATGTTCACATAAATGAGCTACCTCTCCATAAGCCCAGGGGAAGGTAAGCAACAGATAAGTGACCTTTTACTCAAATAAAATGTTTAATAACTGTCCTTCAGGTTTTGGCTAAAACCATATGGACCAATTCTGTCACTGAGAACAAAGTTAATGCCAGTGATAATGTTGAGAATAAACATAAATGTGCAAAACCAGAGGAAGATGTGCCTGTTATCACAGGCACATCACTGAATTTCTCCTTCAGTCTGTGGTAAAGCCCAATTACAAAAATGACATGTCTAAAGATGATGATTATGTCCCTCTAGTTTGTCTCAAATTTTGGAAACCTTACCTTGATCCAATAATTGCATGTTTCTTTATCAGTACCTAACAGAAGATGCTTCCAGAGTTAGTCTCTTCCACATTCAGTTTAGAGAACGCCTTTACTTTTCAATCCCAGCCCTCTTCTTACTGTTTTGTTTCGTTGCTTTTATTTGCAGACTTTCAAGCAGACGTTATGTGCACAACTTTGACTTTGTAAATGCTATCAATGCTCACCAGAAGTCCTGGAGAGCAACAAGATATAAGGAGTATGAGAATTTTGCCCTGGAAGAACTAACTAGAAGAGCTGGGGGTCTCTATTCCAGAGCTCCAAGGTACTAAAGCTTTTTGTTTTGCCATAAAACACACTGCTGCAGAGAATCTGCTTGTATTTTTCCTGGCTCTTCCTAGCTGTGTTTTGGCTTGTAGTTCAGATGTTTAATCAAGTTTCAAGGCCTTCCAGCTCACTTTCATGGAGTGCCAACATATTTCTTCATTTGAATGATTATTCTGAGTATCTGTTGTCTCAAGCAGTTTAGATAAATAGGGTCATCTACCATTTAATCTTGCCCAGTAACTTGCTGCTGAATTCATATGTGCAGGGAAGAAGTGGGAACAGTCTCAGTTGTCATCTCACTCTCCTGTCTACCCACAGTCAGGAGTTTCTGCATCACCACCTTTCTTGTTCTGCTAGTTCATAAGTGCAATTAAAAACCAGTGAGATGCATTCTGCTGTTAAACATGAATAATGAAGATTTTCTGAGGGAATTTCATGGTTATTTTCATAATTTGCCATGCTTGCAACCAGGGTCCTCTAACAGGAGTAGACTGTCTCAGTGAAGAATCATGAAGTAGCCCTGAAGGTGCCTGCAGGGTCTTGCAGATCGCACAGCAGAGACTGGTAATGGGGCTGGATTACTACATTAATTTGAGAACTAGAGTTCTTTGATCTGCCGATTCCCTTTACAGCTGATTTACCTTCTTTGTATTTTTGCTTTTTTGACTCTGATATTGCTGCGGGTAGGAATGCTACTTCCTTTTCCAAACTGTGGCAACTGCATGTTTGTAGAAGAAGGTGCAACTATACAATAAAAATTCTGATTTGCATGGGAGCATCATGCAGATTATCATGCTTTCATCCTATAGACAGAAGTCACCTTGTAGGTGGTCTTAAATACGGTAATCTATGTGGAAGCTCTATTGCACCATGCAGTGCTGTGACAGTATTTTGTTGGCCCTCTAATGCTTTCACACCAAACTCCAGTGCCTGGTGTGTGTGAATGGCACTTGGTGGCATGACTTATGGGTCAAGTATCAGGTTATGTGAAAGCTGAATGCAGGAAGCACTTGGCTTGCTGATACATGAGCATCACTTGGCTGCAAGCGGTAGATGACAAGTGACATTCAATACTTCTTCAATAATCACAGCAAAAACTTTCTCTGTGAAGCCTCTGGGGCAAGTGGGACTGCAGTTATTGAAGTGTCGATGTAAGCCATCTCTGGTCTGCAATTAAACAGTCTATAATTGCTGTCAATGCATGCTGCCAAAGTGAGGTGCCTTCTGCAGTCAGATAATCAACATACCTCATGATGGCAGAGGTGTAAAATAGCTGTGGCAGAGCTGCATTGCTGCAGTCACTGGGAGTTACCTCACCATTTCAGACTGGTTCAAAAGTATTTGACCTTACCAGCTTGTTCATAATACAGTTCCCTCAGGGAGGGATTTGAGTAGGTCTTGCATCCTCCTGAAACTAATCTCCTGAGATTGACACCCACTCAGCTTAGATGGAGACTACTTCAAATTGTTTAGCATGAAGTAAGTGCAACTAGTAAAAGCCAGAAGGTGATAACTGAGCATTACATGATTGTTTCCTTGCCTAGAGTGTGGTATGTTACTCAGAAGCATTTTCTTCTCTTTAGACCAAAGCCTGCACCTCTAACACCCGAGTTACTCAAAAAAGTTTCAGGCTTGCCAGAATCCTGGGACTGGAGGAATGTGAATGGTGTCAATTACGTTAGCCCTGTTCGGAATCAAGGTAAAAAAAAAACAAAAACACACCAACAAAAAACCCCAAACCTCTGAATGAAATGCAGTAGAACTCTTTTGATGTACTTTGTAATTTACTGTTAACAAGAAGGTTTTGTCTAGTGTCTTTGACAGATTCACCTTTACTATGAAGAACCTGTGGAAACAGGGTGGAGTCCTGGCTGACAACACTGTACCAAAATAGAAGGTGGTACTGGCTTATGCAAACAGCAATGTCTCTTGCTGGAATGAAAGCCAATTACCACAGTGCTGCGCATAAAGACAGCTGTCGGGTTTTGTCCAAACAGTCTCAGTCATGGGTTTCTGCGCGCTGACAGAACTGATGTGCATTTAATTCTTTCCCTCATTCCTGGTGATGGCAAATTATAATGCAGCTTTAATGAATAAACACATGGAAATTATTTATCCTACTTTCAAATCTTATCACCCCAATAACTTTAGGAGTCACTTAAATGGTTAATTGCAAGAAGGGGTGTCAGTCACTGTGAAAAGTGTGGACACTGATAAATATAATGTACTTGTAAAAACTATTTTTTTTTTCTGCCCCTGTGAAGAGGAGGTATTTAGCTCAAAATAGACTTAGAATAACATTCTGATACATGTTTATTTTATAGGGAATGCTCTTATAGCACTGTGGTGTGAGACTTCTGAATTAATAGTTAAATACCGGAGGCCAGGAGTGGACTCAGTAAATGTATTCCTTCTGTGCTTCACTATTTCCAAATAAATTTTCATCTCCTGGTAGCTATGTGGTTGCAACTTTGAGGAGAAGGGAACTTAACATTAATATGATGGGGAGGGGATCACATAAATCACTGGTCCCTCATTTATGGCTTAGTTGTTCTGCCCAATTCAGTCAACTGGACGCCTGGTAGCGAAAGCAGCAGAGGAAGATGTGTGGGAGTTGTAGCTCACAAGCTGACACGTGGCATCACTGAAAGATGGCAACAGGAAATGATACAGTCCTGTGTAGGTGTGAGTCCTGTACTTTCTCCTGGTGTGCACTGTGAATGTGCCGTGGGCTCTTTTACCTTCCAAACAGTTGAACACTTGGTCCCAAAGTTGCCCTTTCTCCACCATGTTGATTCAAAGTTTCTCTAAATGAAAACTAGTCTGGTGCTTCCAATAATAAAGCTGCCTACACATTTCCTGTAATCTGAGAGTCCATGCTGAGTATGTTAAATGCCTGTGGAATATACATTCTGCTCCATTAAATAAGAATTTTAGCTTTCAAGCTTTTCCAAAAAAATAAAATAAATAAAAAAAAAGACAACCCACAAAACAAAACCTTCAAAAGATGACCTCATTCAAAATAGTGCTGACATACAGATTAAGTCTTGCTTGTGGTAGCTTGTGTGATTTTCTGAGGCACTGGATGTCAATGCTTCATTAAAATGATGGTATTAGAAAGTCTTAGTTATATATCATTAACATTATTAGATGACTAATTAGAAAATGCCTTTGGGGAGCAGGCTGCAAGCAGTAAGATGCAAGTTGTCTGGCACATGCAGAGGGAATTGTATGAATTACAAGATCATGGCTTCCCAGATCTCACATGCTTGTGAAATCACTGCTTTTAACCTAAGGAGAAAAAAATACAGCATCTGAGGTGGACAAGAGTTAAAAAGGAAATGCGCATTCTCTGAGGAATGCCTTGAGACATGGTGAGTTTCATGCAACTGCAGTTGCCTCGGACCATAATATTTACTGTCAGCGTGTTAGCATCCTTGCTAATATTTCCTGTAGTCAAGAAAGTAAAGGTTGAGCTCTCAGGTTGTTTACAGAGCAGTAACTGCATCTTTGAGTTAAGAGATGTGTTGTCTTTGAAGACAGCCCTGTCATTGCTTGTTATCAACTTTAGAGGGGTGAGAAGAAGGGAACCTACAGATTTTGTTAGCTTTAGACTGCAGTTCCAATTTCTTGCTGACTACTTTCTGCAAGCTTTTTCTGCAGATCAAAGTAGGTGAAAAGCCTAGTCAGCTGATTCTTCACTAGATGCGCTGTGTCTCCTCCTTACTGCTCATAATGTAACAGCCCTTTGCAGTTGAGTGTATGGAATATGATGTGGCTGAAGCTTTAATAGACTCTGGAAGAGAATTTGTGCGAAGTCTCAGAAAAGCAACTACTCTTGCAGCTCTATTGGCTCTCTGCTGTTACAGTGTGGTTGTCATGCTATGAGCCTCACAAATACCACTGTGGTAGCAGGAAAGAAATTTAGCAAGCACCCCAACAGTATTCAGACTGAAATGGTTGTGTTAATCATGTTTTTTACATTTTTGCACACAAAATGCAACAAAGTGTTCTGCAGCATGGCCTATCTCCCGTACTGTGACTGTACAATGAATGGGAGGTGCCTTTCACTGCTTCCATTTGTCCTGCTGGGCGAGGAGTGTTCATGTTCAGGCTGATTTTGTCCCTTCTCTTCAGAGACACGTCTAACTGAGTGAAAGTGCAATTTCACGAAGTCTTGCTTTTGTAATAGCTCTGCTTTTATACACCTACACAGTTCAGGAGAAAGTATTTTGTTTTGTTCCTCAAGCCTCCCTTCTTTTCATAGCTCTGCAATATTTGACTTTCCTACGGTCAGGAAACAAAAGGAAATTGGGCACCTCGGTGACAATCAGTAGATAAAATAGGACCTCATCCAAGTAATTGTCCTTCTCCGTGATGCTTGTCATTCCACTTCCAGAGGCTTTTAATGTGTTCCAGGAAGCTCCTAAGGGGTGAAGAGGCCTAAAACTAGAAGCAATACTAAATTTTGATGCAAAAGTAAGGAGACTTAACTCTCTGCCAGGAAACAGAAAGGAAATTAAGGTGCCTCTGAAAAGCCAGCGTAAAAATTACATGCCCTTGGGAAGTAAAGGGAGTTGGGATGAATCCGCTATGTCAAACCTTCTGTTTATACTGCCAGACTCTCAAAAGTCAGTTATTTTAGGGGTAGTTCTAGAGGTGGAATATTTTTTCAACTGTGTTGAAAAACTGTGTACCAAGTGTTAAATCCATTGATAGGTTGAAATAACGTAGAACAATATTGTCAGCTTTCACTTAAAATAGTTAATTGTCCCTTAGCGTACGTGCACCGTAAAGGGTTATAGTCTGAGAGAGTAGGTTATGAGCCTTCTCGGCCCTGCTAATGTGGTCCCTGTGGGTTCATTCTGAAGGAATAGCAAAGCTCTTAAATGATACCACTGGAAAACACTGAAGAGCTATATATTGTCTCTTACTCTTGGATAAGCTCAGTGTTCCTTCAGAAGTTTTTAGAAATGTTTGTTTTTTTCTTTTTTTAATTGCATGCTTAAAAGCTAAATGTATATTTACAGTTTTTGCTGTGTCAATATTCAGCTTCTAATCACTGCCTGGTAGGTTTTGACTCTTTTCAGTGGACTCTGGCGATAGTTGTACCTGAACGCAGGTGACTTGCCTTATGTTGCTGACTGCTTTTCGTGGTTCCTTTTTCTCCTCTCCTTAGGCTCGTGTGGCAGCTGTTACGCATTTTCATCCATGGGTATGCTGGAAGCAAGGATACGTATCCTCACAAACAACACTCAGAAACCGATATTTAGTCCCCAGCAGGTTGTGTCTTGCAGCCAGTATTCTCAGGGTAAGTACACCGATGCATACAAAGATAACTTTCAGTAATGATAATGCTGCAGAAGGAGACTATATTAAAAACCTCCATGCCTTCTCTATCACCTGTGATTTAGTTTTTTTTATAAAGTATCTGGCAGGCTATACTTTATAGTAGTTCTTTTTTTTAAAGATTGCAGAAAATATTCCAAAGTTGTCAGTCCACCTTATTGTAGGGCTCTGTGCTCAGGATGTTATTGGATTTTAGGTCTACCTGGAAGATGGGAAGCATCTAAGGAGTAGGGCTAAAAATTGCAATGTATGCCTAGGAACCAAATATCTTCCCAAAAGCATATTCGGAGGGAGGAGGAGCATACAGGGAGGGGGAGGTAAGGAAAAGCAATGACTAAATCTATCCAAGGGACGGTACCTGTGTTAGGACAGGTCTTTTTACTTCATGCTCTTCTTGATGGGGAGTGTCAGGAGCAATTGGATGAGAAGGTGGTCCATGCATTAGTGTTCCCAGCATAGCTCCCATTTGATGGGAATTTTGTTGTGAGTGTTTTGGAAAGCTAGCTATACCTAACTGTAATATTAAGGACTATCTAGGGTCACTGCAGTTTGTGTACAATACCGCATCTAAAAGTAGTCCAAAAGATTGGGGTAGGAGAGTCTCCCATCTCAAATAACTCTCCAAGGGAATAAGCAGATATTTTTTTTGTCTAGGTTGTGATGGTGGCTTCCCATACCTCATTGCTGGAAAGTACGTCCAAGACTTTGGTGTGGTAGAAGAGGACTGTTTCCCTTACACAGCCCAAGATTCTCCATGTACTTTCAAGCGCAGCTGTTACCACTACTACACTTCTGAGTACCACTATGTCGGTGGTTTCTATGGAGGCTGCAATGAAGCCCTGATGAAACTCGAGCTTGTTCTGCATGGGCCAATGGCCGTTGCCTTTGAGGTTTATAGTGATTTTATGCTTTATAAAGAGGGGATCTACCATCACACTGGGCTGCAGGATGACTTCAATCCTTTTGAGTTGACCAATCATGCTGTCTTGCTGGTGGGCTATGGTACAGACCCAGAAAGTGGTGAGAAGTTCTGGATTGTAAAGAACAGCTGGGGCACCTCGTGGGGAGAAGATGGTTACTTCAGAATCCGCCGTGGCACGGATGAATGTGCAATTGAAAGCATTGCAGTGAGTGCAACTCCTATTCCGAAATTATAAATGCAGGGGTATTCTTCCAGTGCCTTGTCCCCAGCCATAAAAACATACCGATTTGTTAGAGACGGGTTAAAATCTGTCCCCAAGCTTGAACAGGGGAGCTTTAATGAAATTTTCCAGAATAGAGCAAACAGTTTGCCTAGTTGAGAGGGTGAACACTGTTAGCTCTGCTCTGCGCACTGAAGGCTTCCTCTGGAGTCTGACAGTAGAACACCTGGAACGCAATGGCTGTTTTGGTAACAGTGGTGACAGTTATTCATCACTAGATACACATCTTCAGTCCCCCGTTGCATTTTCTTCCGTGGACAATCTTGAACTTCAGATCTCAGAGGGAAGCATCTGCTATGGTAATCTGTAACCACTCTGAAAGGACACTGTAGTGCCTTACTTCTCAGAAATCAGGAAGTCACTGCAATTTAGAACATAAGTGTGAATTGGGAAGGGAATGGGCAATTACACTGATTAAGAGGAAATTTCAAAGCTTTAAGTGTCCTGCAAAAACTGCATGTCAAATCCTTATGACAAAAATCAGTTCTACGTTTCAGGTTGTTACTAAATGTTGCAGTTCTGGATTTTATTGCTGTGCTTTGTAATTGATCATCTCTGAGTTCAATAAAAATTACCCCACTCCTGCAGGAGTTTGTACTTGTGGAAGCAGTTGGTTCTTGATTTTAGAGACATATCTTGAGTTTTGAACTTCCTGTCAATAATTTTTTGCTTTAGCAGGATCTAAACTGGTGAGAAAGAGGGTGAGAGGGGAGAGGAACTGGGAATGGTCACACTGAGGCCAAGATTCTCACAGCAGCATCAAGCAAGGTTGTGCAGTAGTCCTTGCTGTGGATGTGGGACAATTCATTAAGTGGCTAATTCCCCAGTAATCCTGCTTAAGTCTGCTCTGTTAATCTGTTGCCATATTCCTTTCAAATATACAAGGTAGAAAAGCAGAGTTATGGGGGGGATTGCAACACTTGGAATTCACCATTTCTTTCTAGATGAAACTCGACTGCAACACAATACTTGGTCAGCGCAGCACTGATCTTTGCTCTTCTTCACATGAGTAAATAGGAGTGGCTTGGAGGCGAGTCCCAGGGTAGAAAATGACTTCTTTAGTAATCTGTTAAAATAATATGTGACCAAAGAAGTTAGGTTTGTTTGGGGTTTTTTTTATGTAGAAAAAACCCCAATCTTACGGTTTTTGGGGGGTTTCTTAAGGTGTAGAGAAATACATAAAATTCAGGAAAATGGAACAGTTGCCTGTAATCAAAATATCCCATTTAGCTGAGAAGGGAAAATTCCCTTTTACTTCAGGAGGAAAACCTCACAAGAACTACTTGACTCTAGTTTGCTCAAATTGAGGGGTGAGGGAAGGATAGCTTCATGGTTTTAGGTTTCTTTTTTTCTGGAACCCCCTGCTACATTTGGAACCTTTTGGAACCAAGCTACATTTGGAAATTTAGAACTTGTGTTTTGCCAGAATTGGAACAAGAACCTCTGGAATAGTTTCTATCATGCATTGGATTGTTCTAGCTGAGGGAATTGGGGGCAGGGAGCAAGGCACTTGTTCCTTCCCATTTGGATTACTTGGTGTTCCTGCAAGACTGTGAGTCCCATGAGGAATTAACCCCTTAGTAGCAGCTGCATGTACGTCATGAAGATGTACAATTCTCCCTCACACCTCTTTGCCTAAAATGCACGACCAAGGGCAAACCTTTTCTCTTGCACTTCTCCCTCTCTTCTCCCACAACAGTCTTTTTCCTGGGGAAAACGTTATTGGGGTGGGAGAGGCGATACTGCTTTCCCCCGACTGTGTGCATGGTTTGTGTCTGCTGCGTCATCAGGCATAATAACGGTGTGGTAGTTCATGTGCTGATAAACGGCTCTCAGTAGGTCACCCACTACCCTTTTTCCAGGCATTGATTTGAATTACAGTCGTAAAAGTAAAGCTGAAAATTGCTTGAAGTAAACAAGGAAGGAAGAAATTGCTGCCTGTGCTTTCATTTTGGAAGACAAGACTATGTTGGCTGCAGCACGATGCCAGCAGCAAACTTCCTGCTATGCTGATACTACAGCTACACAGCTTGACCCAACTTGGATGACAGGTTCTCTGTACATCAGCAGCCGTGTTGACACCAGTATAAACTCTCAGGACCAAAGAAGATGGGCTTTGTGTAGGTGATCTGCAGGCTTGTCCTGCCACCCACGAGTGCCTGTGGTTTCACTACACGGATACGATGCATTTTCAATGTCCCATGCATTGGGAAGTGTCGATTCTTCATAAGCTGGTATTTTCATGAAGTTATGGCTTTGTACAGATGTTCTTGGTTCCTGGTTCTCTTTAACATCTGTAGCACTTGAGATTAGCTTAAGAATATGGCTGTAAAAGCTAGGTATATCTTACTATTTTTACTGTCCTTTAGCTGTTAGGAAATCTACTCGTTACAGTCAAACTGCTGCTGACACTCGTGGTGCTACAAATACAAAAATACTTGCTATTTGCCATGCCTCGTATCACGTTAGCTACATGCCTCTTAAATAGCATTGTGTGTTATTTTCTTAGAAATTCCCGTGTCTGCCTATCTGTCACTGCTTGTGTGTGGCAGCTGCACTGGTGCTAATGTGAGGATGGGAGAGTTCTCGGAGCGGTCTGTCACCGTCGCTGCCCCCAGCGACTGTCATCAGATGTTTGTTTGCCTCTGGCTGACTGAGGTGTGCGAATGTCCCTTTTTTCTGTATTTCAGAGTTGCACAGAGAAATGCCAATCAGCCTGACGGAGCTAGCGTGTGGCCAATGTGGCACATTTGGAGTCTCAACTTTTTTTGAGATTGTGGGCCAAGTACAGAAAGTACATTCGGCAGCCACAGGCTGAAGACCAGCCAGAGCATTTTCTTCCCGCAGGCCAAAAGGCATGCAACTGCGAGAGTTGGTAAACCTCAGAAGTGAGGGGGTACCGCTCCACTTTATGATGGTGCAGGCTGTGACACAGCTTCACTCGCTGGTGTTCTTCCAGCTCCTCAGAAGTTGAGTAGCAGGGCTAAGAGAACAGGCTGAGAGAGTTGGGGTTGTTCCGCCTGGAGAAGAAAAGGCTCCAGGGAGACCTTATAGCAGCCTTCAGTACCTAAAGGGGACCTACAGGAGAGCTGGGGAAGGACTCTTCATCAGGGTGTGTAGTGATAGGATGAGGGGTAACAGTTTTAAACGGGAAGAGGGCAGATTTAGATTAGATGTTAGGAAGTAATTCTTTACTGTGAGGGTGGTGAGGCACTGGCACAGGTTGCCCAGAGAAGCTGTGGCTGCCCCATCCCTGGAGGTGTTCAAGGCCAGGCTGGATGGGGCTTTGAGCAACCTGGTCTGGTGGGAGGTGTCCTTGCCTGTGACAGGGAGGTTGGAACTAGATCTTTAAGATCACTTCCAACTCTAACCATTCTGTGATTCTAAGCTTGGCTGTAAGGAGTACAGAAGACTGGACGTAAACTATGGCCCACAAAATAGACAAAATAGAGAAACGTGGGTCTCTGCCATGTCAATTTACCTTTTTTTTAAGAGGCTATAGTTAGTTTAGATGGCTTCTACCTATAAATGATGTGTTATCTGGAGTAGCTTAAAATGGGAAATAAGCTATCGCTCAGGAGAATAATTGCAGGTTTGGCAAATATGCCTTGCAGTGAACAAGTAGGGGCCCAATCTATTTAACTTGTCAAGGAAGGTTAATAGATAATGTCATGGCTGATAAATACTTACAGGAGCAACAGAGCTGGTCATCAGCCCAGCAAACAGAGATATTAAAAGTCCCGTGTTTTGAAAATTAATACATGCAGAAGACAAATAAGCTCTAGCTGTTTAACAGCGAGTGTAATAAATCTGTAAAATCTATCAAAGGCTGTGGTGGAGTCTCCATCACTGGAGTTGGGTGATTTTCTGGTTTAAGCACTTCCTCAGGCACAAGAATAGTTTGGGGAATCCTGCAGTTGCTTTGTGAAAGGCGACCTGGCCGGATTGTTGTGACTCCTTTGTGATCTAAGGACTTGAAACACAAGGTGACTTTTAACTTCCAAAGTTGTCAGTCTAATATTGCACCATAAATTGCGTATAAAGTGGCAGCAGGGATGTTTTCCTAGATTTGTTCAAACTGCTGAAATTGGGACTGGGTAATTTTAGAGTTATAATGGTCCAAGGGTCTTGGGAAGACACAGAAAACCACAATGTGCACCAATAGAGCTTATTAAAATAGCAAGCCCAGGAGAATATCATACTTTAAATGAGCTGCACTCTCATCCATTGCTTTCCTCTCCATTGCTGGAGGCTTAGAATTGGTTTGTAAAGTGAAGTTAAGACCACTGGACTGCTTTAAAAGGTTCTCCTGCTGACATCAGACTTTCTGTGAGCTCTGAAAATATAAAGCTGTATTTCTCAGTTACTTGGCTTTCAAGGTGTGGTTAAAACAAGGTTGTAGGTATTGTTAATGGAATACCGGCAAGGATGTCAAATGGAGAATTTTGGAAAGCATTTTTTCTCAATTTTTGTATTTAAAAAGGGACAAACGCTGATTTGTTTGAGAAGAAAAAAAAAGAAGATGGGCTAAGGAAGCATTTTTTCAGTGGTTTCAATCTACAAAAGAGCATCCTTTACTAAGATTTTCAGTTTTTACTTTCTCATTCTTCCCTTCCCCTCCCAAACACTATAGCAAGTGGTTTTTTGGTTTTGGTTTTTTTTTGTTTTTTTTTTTTTTTTTTCCCAGCAAATCCTTTGTTTCTTCAGAAAAGCCATTCTTGGTGTGTGTTAAAATTCCCCTTAAAACATCAAAGCTATCCCTGTTTTCACTTTCACCACAATGGATGTTTAACTCCGCTTTAGACCATCAGCAGGGACAGAGCCACCTCACAGAGCTGGGGGTGTCTCACTTTGGGGCAAAATAACGTAAGAGCACAGTGTAATGCCTGGAACCTCTCAGGGATGTGGTGCAGCAGTAGGTGGTGAGGGAGGTTTTGAGGGGGGAGGTCTGTTCCCAGGTCTGCTGGTGGCTTTGTGGGAGCTGTGGGATGTTGTGGGGATGGTCTCCAGGGAGATCTTATTGTGACCTTCCAGTACCTAAAGGGGGCCTACAGGAGAGCTGGGGAAGGACTTTTTACTAGGTCACGTAGTGACAGGACGAGGGGGAATGGCTTTAAACTGGAAGAGGGCAAGTTTA